AGAAAATGCGTAAATGAAAGTTGCTGTTAAGCTTGCTCTTCTGCTTCTTTGGTATAGATGGAGTTACATGTTTTTGGCGAATTAAAGAAACAGTGTGAAAACTGGCTTGGCTTTGCTATTTGGGAAAAAAAAAATTAAAAAATATTAATGCTAACATGTGAAATTTGACCTTTTTCATGTTTTTGGCCCTCTGCAGTGTATATATATATATATATGTATATATATATATATGTGTAACAAAAAATATTTTAAAACTGTGATGCCACTGAGTTAAGTGGGTTAAGTGCACCTGGTTCTACACAGATTGCTTAATGCAAATATAGTTAAAAATAGCAGTTGGTGAAATGAATTAATTGGTACTTTTCAGAGCTCATTTTTGTCAGATAGATAGAAACTTTTATGAATTGACAAATTGGCAGTATCTAACTTGATTTTCATTGTATACAGACTCAGTTTTTTTTGTTTCCCTGTTTCTTGAGTTCCACAGGCAATATTTGTGAGAAATTAAAAAATAATAAAGTACTCCTGGATATTTCATGTAATACCTTGGCGTTTGTATTTATAGTTTACAAGTTTTATTTTCACTTCCTAAATAAAAGCAAAAAAAAAGAGATTAGAGAACTTTGTAAATCTCAGTGTGATTGATCCAGATTAAGTGGATTATTTCACTTTGGGGGGGTTGTGTCTTGAACTTTTTTTTTTCTTATCTTTTTGAACCATATGGGGTAATTCCTGTCATAAGGAGCTACACTTACAGTGTCATAGGAAAGGGCAAGGAGCTAAGAGATTACCTACTTAGCAGAGCTATAGTAAATCCCTAGAAAACACCCAAAACCTGCTTTTCACTAGGGTAAAGGAGTATGGCAGTTTTCTCAGTAAATAAACATACATGTAGAATTGGTATTTCCTTAGGAATTGCTGAACATAAATTAAATGGAGAAATTAGCAACATAGTAAAAAGGGTCAAACAAAAATGCAAATTAAAAAAAAATGGGTGCAGGATTTTTTTCTATGCACTTCTACACTGTGTCTATGGTTTGTGTTTTTAAAATATTTTATCAGGGAAAAAGCTGCACAAGTCAATATACAGGAGAATGTGTTTTGTTTTTTCTTGTTAATGATCTGCATCTTTTTAGAAGCTAGCCTATTCTTATAAACAAGTTAAGCACCCCTCTAGCTTTAGTTGGGTTTCCATTAAGGTTTCCTAAAAACCAAGCAATTATGTTTTGAGATGAGCCTAAGGAATTCCCACTGTAAAAAGAACTGGGTTTGGGATTTGTTTTATGCCTCTGTCCTCACCCCTCTTTTACCTACTGATTTAGGGCCAAAAAGCTGCTTGTTTCTTGAGGAGGACTGCTGGGGTTTTCTGTTAGGAAAGGGATGTAGGGGAATACTGATAGCACGATAGTCCTTCAAAAATAGTTTAGTAATACTGATTGTAGAAACTGAAACATTTTTTTTCTTTATGGAGGCATTTTTTAAAGGCTGACTGTTATGTACAGAAACTGCTGGATTTGAAATGTAGCCATGGCATGGGTTCTATAGCAGCATTCAGGTGCATGTTTCTGTAGATTATGTCTGAAATTAACTTAAAATATCTATGTGCAGAAAATCACACTGAAAAGCCAGTGTCCATAAAGGAGACAGAGGAGTCCAGCAACTTTATTAGAATAAAGAGAGTCCACTGGGGCACACGTTCGTGGGGTTTTCTCTCTCGAAGGTTTGGAGGGCTAAGCCTCCTTTTGCCCTAAACTCCTGGCTGCATGTTGCTCTCTTCCTTTTCCCATTGGCTGAGGTACTAGGAAGGTACAGCCTTCCTGAACCACCTACCACATATTCCCACCTTAAACATGTCATTTTACCCCAAAGTTCAGAAACTCAGGCTTATGCCAACACCCATTTGTCTATTTTAGGAGTCAAACTGTGGGCTCTGCAACAAACCTGCTGCCCAAAGTTAGTAGAGACACTAAGACCCATTTCAAAGACGTTAACACCCATACCCTCACCCACGAAATTGTTTGTAAAGACATTAGCACACACCTTTCCTATCAAACCCTCCTCTTCTTAATTGCCAATTTGTCTTTATAAATCTTAGTTATCATTAACTTACCTTTTTTTTAACTGCCCAGCATGATATAAAAATTAACATTTGAAACACCCCCTCCCAACTTTTCCACATCTGGCCCCTGCACCAGGTGTGGCAAGTAAATACAAAGAAACAACTTAGTATAAAGTAGACAATGACAGTTCATATTAGCCCACTAATCACTAGAGGTCCTTGGAGATGATCCGTGGCTACTGACAGCTAAGGTCTCCCATCCTTGTCTTCCTACTGAGAAGTCGAAATCACTGGGGTTTTAGAGACCTTGACTCGAGTATGATGGGTCCACCCATGTTCAGCTGTCCTGACTGCTGTTCCTGCAGTCCTGGTTGGATGTTATAAACAGCAAAGTCCAAAGGCAGGATCTGAGCTAACTGGGCTTCCTGTCAAAGAGATTTCATGAGACACAGTATTCTGACCATATACTGGTTTAAATATACATCTTCACCTCCCCACCACAATGAAAATTAATCAGGTAAGAATCCCAAACATTAATTCAAAGGGGAATAATTTAGTATCTCCTAGGGGTTCGGCTCTTATTCTTGCTAAGTTAATGTCTAAAGTCATACCCATGGCATCTTAGTTTCTGTCACCAGCTTCAAAAGGTGTTCCTTTACTTCTCCATTCATCCTTTCTATTTGACCTGAATTCTCCAGGTACCAGGGGGTATGGAGGTCCCACTGAATTCTCAAAGTAGTCATAATCCTTTGAAGGATCCCCCTGTAAAATGAGTTCCCCCGTCCAAGTCCACTGCCTCCACAATCCCATATCCTGGAATTATTTCAAAAATACCCAGTAGTTGCTGAAGTGACCAGAAACTCTTCTGGCCACTCTGCCAGCTGGCATACCACAAGCTATTTAAGCCCTCTCGCCTGGGGCATCTCAGCAAAATACACCTGACATCCTTGGAAAGGAAGTATAGCTCAGAGTCATCCTCCTGCCTTGCAAATCTTCTTTGTAGTCTGGCTATTAACTTCAGCCAGGCGCACCTCAATAGCTTATTTTGCTAAAACAAAAAGACCCAAGGCAGTACATCTTGAGGAAGGTCTCCACCAGTCCTGGAGAGCCCCAATGACCCTCCCCATAGAGTTACAATATTTGCAGGGTGTCTTAGGCTACAAAATAAGATGTAACCAAAAGTATGTATTCTATCACCATCTCCATAAGCTGTTAAAAACCAGGTGGGGCAGTGTTCTTTATCTCTTCCATGACTCATCCCTGATAACTCCCTCCAGGGGCTATCTTCTGCTAATGGGCCATCAAGCCTTACTGCAAGACTCATTAAATTACATCATCCCATTGTGAAATGCTCTGCCCAGAGGGAGGAACCAAGCATTCCTACATGGATATAATCTGAGTCTTGGAACACCATAAGCAGCCTTATCTACTGTACTCCCAGAGGACAAGAACTACATAACCACCACTGGACCTTCAGAGGAAGACCAGACCCTTCCACAAGATCACCGCTTCAACAGAACCACATCTACCACTTCAAGAGGACTGCAGCCACCATTTAATCGGACTGCTACCACCCCTCTGATCAACAGGGTGTCAGGTTGTATTCTGACTTTGTCAGGTTAAGCCAGTGTTTTTTGCATTTATTTTAATTTTTCCTAATAAACTGTAGTTCTGACTTGGAGTCTCTCACTGGTTTGCTTTCAAACTAGTACACAGGGGTCAAAGCTCCTGGCATTCACTATTAAGTGTTCTTTGTAAATCAATTCTTCCCTCTTTCTTCTGCCCCATGACATTTAGTTATCTCCAACTCCTCTGGTGGAAAAGACAGCACCACTCTCCCCTCCCACCTCCCCTGGCAACGGCTGAGCCAGAGGGAGTGTCTTGGTTTAGGGTAAATTTGGGAGAAAACCTTTAAAGGGGGCTCTTCTAGAAAGCAAATCTACACGGCCCCTCCCCCCAACCAGTTCGGGAAGGATTTTTCAGAGAGAAGTGGAAAGAATTTGTTCATTTAACAGGTACAGCACTTTTTTTAGCACATAAAATTAACAATATTGGATGATAATACTTTTTTACTGTTTTGAAAAAGATGATAAATTTAGAAAGGTTTATTTGGAAGTGGTTGTTTTATCTTTTTTTTTTTGGCACTGGGAATAGCTGCTGCATGTCACAAGGTGCAAATTTTTGGTGTTTTTTAGGTTTTAGTTTGGAGTAGGCTTGAGTGGTTTTAAGAAAAGAAAAGAAAAGAAAAATAGTCTAGGGAAAATTTGGATTGCTTAGTTAAACTAACAAGCAGAAGCAAGAGCAAAGCAGGAGAAAAGCAGGAGTGAGAGAGCAAAGTAAAAGCTAAAGCTGTACTATGTATTGTCTTCACTTTTGTGCCTTGTTGACCATTGGGGGAGTGAGCAGACTG